CATCTACAGTTCATTACCAAGCCCATTCCATTACAAACAAAATCAGTTCAAGTCGCCCCGGCAAGAAAAAAAAACCAATTAATTAGGCGACATTATCTGCAACTTTAACCAGCTTCCAAATCTCAACGATTGGAAAAGTAGCAAGGTCTTTCTAGGACGATTAGGGCCAGCCGTTGCTTCACCAGAATCAATTCAACCACTCGGGTTATTTTCAAGATAGCCCTTCCGTCAACAAGTTTAGTTCCAATGACAAATTTGATGCAATATTAACCTTGGTCGTAGTTACGAAGAATGGGCAACATGGCAAAGCTGAGCGATCGTATTCGATTTTTGTTTTTAGTTTTGAATGAAATCAACTCCCCCAACTCCTTTCGTTATCCCATCCTAACCAAGCTTTCATTCGCGAGCCAAAAATGTGCGGACCGGAGTTGAAGCGGGGCCACGGCCGTGGCACCGTGCCAACAGAGGTCCCACAACGAATCTCTGCAAAAATTGGCAAATTGCCACGGACGGGCATGTACATTTTGGCCCGTATGCATAACGCCCAGGGTAGGGAAGGGGAGAGTCTCCCCAAGGAAATGTTTGTGAAGGGCGCGAACGTTCAAATGAGGTTTTTCCCTTCGTTCTGTGTCAAGATAGTTGCAATGGAGCAGAGTTTTTCCTTATAAACAGGTGAAGAGTCGACAGCCCTCGGTAATCATGTGATGTTTGTCTCTGCGACCTTACCTTAGCGAGAGCTCAGAGGAGCCCGACCCCATTGGCTTCCTACCCTGGGAGGGGGATGAATCTACCCCTAGAATTGCGTTGGGGCGCCGATGGTCATGTAAACCATTCACTGCAATACAACAATTCACTGCATTATTCGACAAGGCGCTTCTTCCACTGATTCCTGCTGCCGAATTCGTCAAGTATTGCTCTGAATTTATTTTACTGCTGCAACCAACTACCAATTTATTTGTATTGCTGCGCTCGTTGCTATGAAGCAGTTAAGGCTTTAATTAAGCAGGTTTGTCTTTCTAGATTTACACCAGTTATCGTGAGCATTTTGCATCACGATGCTGGTGTGATTTAAGAAGGAAACCAGAATACTTTCTGTCAGTAACCAATAAGTAGTTTTTCGATTGGCTTATACATTATTTCATGACCTATTACAACTTATTCTTTGTACATCTGGTGATTACAGACGTGGTAGGTGGCACTATGACAGGGCGCTATGTTTGCTGTAGCCTTCATTTAATTCATTTACCATTTTTGTTCTCAGCTCTCGATTTTGATGGTAAATTGAGTTTTGTCAAATGTCAACTAGTATGAAGTAGTTCTAGTTCTCCTTTCAGTAGTTTTACTCCTCATTTTCTATGGAACCCTGCCTCAAGAAGGGATATACGAACTTTTGCATGGAAGAGTCTCGGACTCGAAGTTTACTATACCATCCATATACTTTATAATTGAGCGAGAGGAGAAAGGTGAAGATGCATGCTGATAGCAAAAAAGAGAAGGTTCAGCGCATTGAAGAAACGGCATGAGTTTGGACAAGAAGAATGTGGATACCATTGGTTGAAATAGACACTGCAAAGGAGAGAGATTTTCGATGCGGCCGATTCGGGGAGAAGAATATATACCAAAAGTAAAGTACTACGAGTGACCAGGAGTAAAAATAAGGAGATGTGAAGCACCGCAGAATGAGGTTTGCAGTGCTCAGGGCATATTCATTGAGGAAGCTTGTCTATGCGCAATACTCAGGATGTAAGGTGCCCGAGCCGAGGATGGCGCAGAAGTGTAAAAGCAGATTAAGTACTGTTGAATGGATTGGTGATCGATAGTTCTGGCGACCTCTCCTCATGGTGCTGAATTTAGCCCTAACATAAGTCTCTNTAAGAGCGAACTGGTTCAACTCCTCCGCCAAGTGGTATTCGATGACTTTATCAGCTAGTAACCACAATATAGACTTTTTATCCAAAATCTGCTGTGCAGATTTTATTTGCTGGAGGCTGTTTTCTCTAAACACTTCAATTTCCACTATCCTCTCCATTTGTTTTCTTATTAAACACTTAATGATGGTTTGGGATAATTAATTTTCGCATCTAATTAAGCTTGCTTTAAAATTCGGTGCGCAGTCAACTGGATGCTCGGTTAAAGATTTCCACAACCCCCCAAGTGCATTTCGAAGAACATCCTAATCATTTGCTACTTCCTTGAGCGTTCTCAGGTTATAGTTCCCTTCCAATTTGTTACAGTGCTTTTACCGGGGCAAGTATCCACACTCTCCCCAAATCCCGGTTCCTCTAATCGAAAGACACAAATCCATATATCAATTTAACACTGTCTTGGAGGTGTAAAATACTCTGCTCTGGCGTCACATTTCTGACCCGCGGCGAAAACAAACACTTCATTGGGGAGACTCTCCCCTTCCCTACCCTGGGCGTTATGGCCTACGGACTACTTGAACTCGGTTCCTTTAAATTTGCCGGATGCGTCATTTTTCTGCCCTCGTCTGGCGCTCTCCCGTTTGATGTGGTCTTTGCGTGTTGTGCTCGCCTGTCCAATGGGGCCCCCACCACCACCGCCGTAGGCTTCACCCGGGGTGTTTTTCTCTGGGCTCTAGCCTCTTGCCGTCAGAGATGCAGAGAAAGTTCAAGTAGTCACGTAACCGGGCGTTATGCATACGGGCCTTTGTTGCGTTCCCGTTTTGTACATGTTTCGTAATACCGCGCGTTTAGCAGCTCTTGGGGTGTGCTGACACTGCGTGAATGATGTTATTCCTGGGGGCTACGGACTACTTGAACTCGGTTTCAAGTAGTCATGTAACCATATTCTTGGAGCTTCACTCTCTACACCACTTCAAACTGTATGTTCCAATGATAGCCCTTATCAGAGTACTCAGAAAAGACAATCAGCCTCCCCACTCGACTTATTGCGTTAGCTTGATGTACTGCGATTGACTGTCACTAATGTAAAACAACTCATCCATTTCTGATTGAGTTGGAGTTAAAGGCACAATTCACGATAATTTTGAGGTACCCTTTTTATTCAAAAAGCGGAAGTATAGGTTGGGAATAGTTCATCGGTAGTGAAGAAAGCGAGGAAATTCGCAAGTTTCGAGAAAATAGGGCTCCTTAAAAGTAGGGAAACCACAGGTTGAACGAGATTACTATAACAGAAATAACATGGAAGGAGTACTTGGACGAGATTTCGGTTGTTGCAATTGTGCAAAGAGCTGACTACATCAGCCAGAACTGTACAGAACTGTCTTTCACTCTCGCTATGAGTCATGACAAGTTGTTTGAACTTCCTACATTGGTTCCCCTGTGATCGGTGCAACCTCTACAATGCCAGTGAAACTCGTCCGAGGATACACACGGGCCAATCTTTGAGCGTTTATAACTCCCTAACTAGGCTGTTTTCCGAGTGTGCCAGATATGGTATAAGCGGGGGCCTCAATTTCATCCTGTGGGTTAATCTCAGAAACCATTTTTATGGTGAACTGTGCCTTTAAGTTCCCTGCTTACCTGAAAATTCGAACTCGTTCCCCTTGCTAGCCTCTACTGCCCTTTACCATGGACTGCAGCATTCATGAGCAGGATAGGGATTTCTGATATGAGCTGTACCCTTCTCTGATGCACACTATCTACCACTAAAACGTGACATGTTTACATTTGTTTGTGCCCATCCCCTTTTATCCTGGACTCTAGGACGTTTTTGAACCTGAATACCAATATCTATTCTAAGCTTTGCCTACTTTGTAACTTATCCATCTATCCTGAATATTTGACACTTCTGTATTTGCTAGCCACTACCTTCATTTTTTCAAATATGGAACGTATCCAATCTGTACAGCGAACACGAAATATCAATGACCAAAGCCCCGTCGACCTTGTCATAAGTAAACCTGATCGCTCTGTTGCAGACTTTTTTTTATGAGACTCAAGTTCATTTTTCATATATTTATGCGGAGATACCACTTCAAAGATTGGAAACTTCAAAGTACTGCGGCTAATAAGACATTCCAAATAGAAAGGAGAACTACTGACCTTCGGCCAGTTCTACACACCACGAATTACTATTACGCTCATAAGTCACGACGTATGGTAGTGTAATTACTTGGTGATTGTAAAAATGCTTGTGAGGCAACCCCACAACACTTGAGAAATGAAAGTCAACGATACGAAGATCAAATCACACTCAATTAGCGAATAAGGAGAAGTCACAGAAGACTGATTTGAAAAAAGAAGGCATGATCTGTGAGAAGCCTTAAATGAAGGGTATCAAATACGTATACGCAATCACCACACAAGTGGGCAAAGACGAACACGATCGCCAACAAGTGACGGCGATCTGACCCTGTATTCGGAGCAAGGTAATAGAGAGTAAAATTCTGAATGAAAAAAAAACTATCCCTTGAAAAATCAAGAGGTAAAACATGAAGCCCGAAAGTATTAAGGATGACATATTCAAATAAAACTTAATGAACAGTTCAGTGGTATCGCACCACATCAAGGAGATAAGTCAGTTCAATAGGATAAAAGGTGACTAGTTAAGAACAACACTATGTCATTTCAAAGGATGAGTGTAATTTAAGAAAAATCTAATTCGAATGTATCACTTTCGTTTCCGTTCTCTTACTGAGTTAGATGTCGATGCAGTAGAGTTCTGAAAAGAAATAGATATGAGTCAGAGAAAGAAAGAACATGTGTGATATACGGTAACTTCAAACTTGTTGTTCAAAGCAGTAAACTTGTCGGATACAATTCAAAAATTGATGCTTTACCTGAAGAAAAAACAGAAAATAAAATCAATTGGACCCTGAACAAATGATTTTATGCATTCAACCTTGGACTTGCACTTTAGAAAGACGTAAAATGAATCGTTCAACGGTAAGACGGTTTTTTCTTCAATAAAGTAATTGCCATTCACCTACTTACAATGTTTTCCTGAGCTTCCACAATGAGATATGAAGTACACTTTTAGTCTAAACCCGAATGGAAAAAAAACTCAAACGAAAGCCACAGGAGTAACAGCTGGGTAATAAGTTCTAAACAAGTTTTCTTCAACCATATGTTAAGTCGTACATTAGGCCTTAGGCGTACATATCTACTGAAAATTCTGCAATAATTGGATGCGTATTGCATCAAAAGTTTAGATCCGGCTATTTCGTTGCTGAAGCCTAAGAAGACTGTTTCAAGTATTTTTCATTGGAGCCCCAGAGCACTTTTGTGCAGATCCAGCTCCAATGCTATCAAATGGCAAAGGAAGATCTTAATGTACTCCTATGGAAACTTCCAGTATATACTGTGACAATCGGAATTCTGTGAAAATTCAGGCAGAACCGTTTCGAATACCCTAACATAAAGATACGATAAAAAGCTACAGATAGGGTTTGTCACGATTTTCATTCAAAGGAGGCCTTCCTTTAATGAAAGTGGTGACGGTGCGAGGCGCGACCTCAAGTAAAAAGTATTTGACAACCTAAGTCCGGTTTTGGTGATTTGTAACAAGCTCAACAGCAGCCCTGACTTTAGTTCTCTACACGTCAACATCAATTGCGATAGGGAGCATCTCCTATACAGGCAAGGCCGCAGGAAAAATTGTTGTGGTTTTGCCCGCTTCCTTTCCTGCAAGCCGTCTTGCAGCGAGCTATGCCATGTATTTACATATAACGATGAACGTTTGCTCGACCTCTCTCAATGCGGTAAGTTCCGAATTTCACGACTCGTCTTTCTCTCGTGACTCGTGATCTAGGGCAACAATAGCCGCATCCACACACACAGCATTTGGGAACGGTGTGATGGCAGATGGCTCTACCTAAAATTTATTCGAACCCTTCCATGTTTCGATATCGGAAATCCTGCGTGACTGACACGCATAAAAAGCGGATTACTCCCACTGATAGAAGCAGATCAACGGCAAACTAGTTGCGTATGCATACAATTTTCCCTGCATGCACTTTGCATCAAGTTCCGAATACGGACTGTCAGCTCAGCTTGTCAAAGGTATGCAAACAAGTTCAGTAGGTAACCCATAGCCTTACTACGAGCTATCGCTAGCAACGCGCTGAGGTGACTGTTGTTTTGTTTTGATTGTTTTCATACACGCGCACAGACGAGTGGTCGAACTTCATCGACACAAAAAATGAGATGTGGTGTTTGTACATCAAGTTCAAGCACTATCGATACCGAATTGAAAAGGTTGAGTCGTCAGGGCCGCAGCTGAGGATAGTTCTCTATTCAGACCCTATCCGGAAGCCTGCGAGCCACCGGATACGGTCCGAACGCCCGCTCACGGAAAGAAGACTATTTCACCCCGGATTTCAGGACACCAAGAAACAACCGATCGACCGCCCGAAGGCCAGTCATCTTCATAGAAGCCCAGAACTGAGTCAGTTTCACTGAAGTGAAGAGTCTTCGCTATTATGTAGCTCGTGACAGCAACGTGTGTAGATGCCCGTTAAATTAAATAAATGAAGAATTGGACTACGAGGTGCAATGTTTCATCATCATTATTTCATTAAACGTTACTGTTTACTGAAAATGACTGCTCATTCCTATATTTAGGAAGGCTAGCACCATGAAAATGGCTTATTAAATAAAACGGACTAAATATTGAACGATGTAACGGTTAGACAAGAACACATACGCATAGATAAAGGTTGCAAGTATAATAACATCAATGGGAAGAAAAAACACATAAGATGGAAGCTATTTAATTCAAGAAGTGAAGAAACCTACACTTAATTTATCTCCGAGTTGAATGGCACCACCCAGAGCTCCCAACTGTCCAGCATTCGGTGATATGAAGTTCGTCCACATGAAAGTGACAGCGTCGTCAACCTGGAATCAAGAGACAACTTGGAAAGCACACACTTTTTAGCATGGACAAGGGCTGTTGACCAGAGCTGAGTATTCGATGAGAGAGAAAACTCGTTCTAAGGATTCTGGCGAAAATGGGGTTGGAACGGGCCACACCATCATTACTTTGCGTCTCGAACGATAGTTGCTAGAGCATGAGAAGGACAGGGCGCCGGCATTGCGGGTCCACACGTAGTGATGAATTTAAACGATTCCGAGCCAGGAGGGAGTTTTTTGGCTAAAGCCTGAGGGCAGAAGCACACCGTTCGTGAAATTTCAATGCATTTATTTTTACCTTATGGCAGAAGCCTACAATTGCGTATCAACAGCAGATCTAAGGAGCTACCCTGCCACGTGTATAAAACGAAAGGAAGATATACGCATCGAAAGGAAGACTTGGACAAGGACACAAGTGTGGATAGTGAGGCAAATGTGCTGCCATTGTGCGCTGCTACAGTGGGTGAAGATAAATCAAACACTCCATTTACATTTTCTCAGAATCAAGAAAAAAGTATAGCGATGAAAGAAACAAAAAAATCCTGTTTACCTGTTGATGATGAATTTCAAGTTTCATGGAAGGCAAGCGAACACAAAAATGCCCACAAAATGGCTGAATGTTCGGATATCCCCACGCACGGATACTTGAATGGGCAAGGAGTGCGACCGAGGAGCACCGCGTGTTTGCAATAGACAAAAGGGATATGTGTCAATGTAATATTGACGATGTCGGGTCATATCGTCCATCGATACGCGAGTGTTTTGCTGATGTATAGTGCAAACAATATGCTTACGGCTAATTATAATTCTTAGGGCTCTAGTCAATCCCGTCAGGGGGATACACCCACGGGTTCGAATTGCATTCATAATCGTAGTGGGGTATTGAATACATATGCGGCCTATACAATGGCTTGCGGTGGCCAGCCGATGTACAAGTCAACACTTTTATCCTCCCAGGCGGATCGAGTACAGCTAACCAACCCCAGAGGTATGAAATGCCTGCTTGGTCTAGGCGGATATCGATCTGGGATTCGAACCCGTGGCCACAGGTCCGTGATATTGCGCCACTTGCCACTATACTGTCTTTGCACACAACCTGAACTAACATGTTTGGCAAACCAATCAACGTTTCGATTGACTTCTAGCGGGCGACTTTAATGAAGTCGTTCTACCTTTGGTATAAATAAACCATAATCAAATTGTTGAACAAAGGATGGGTTCTAGCTAACAATTCATCTTTCTTCAACTTTTCACTCTGCTACGGCGATAAGCGGATAGATTCATCCCATCGAGATTTCGCACCTAATCAGAGTACGCGAATCCTACAGCCTTCTATCCAGATGCGAAGTAAATTTTATAAGGTGCGAAAATTCGATGGTCATTCGCATTTGATGGTCACACCCTGTCAAAAATGTGCATGCCTCGATCGCATTCCATGCCGCATTCAAACATCCGTGTTCGGAAGTGTTACTCAAACATCCGGGAGGTGACGAGGACAAATTCCGTTCACGGCAAACTGGATTTCTCTTCTGTAAAAACGAAATGAAGGAAACTTACCCAGCCACTGGCTTCGCGGAGTGTGCCGGAGTACCTCGCATAAGCCCAAACAGTTAGTGCTCCAATAACAATGACCAGTATAGAGGAAAAGAGTCCTAGCAACGGAACGTTTGAGGTAAATCAACGATACTTTGCAATTTTTTGCAGCACTCACCAGCGAAAAAGTCGAGTCCAATCATCTGACAGAATTCCTGACATATATAGTCGATTATCATCAATGAAACAAGAACAGCTGGCGTGCGCATTGATTTGAACAAGTTCTTTCCGTTGTTCATCTTCAGATAGGACTCGTAGCTTTCCTGAACAGGCACATTATCTCCATTATAATGCACTTCTGTTGACATAATGGCCGAATGGTGAAAAGATTCATATTAAACGATTATGAAAACGTAGGAAACACATGCTTTTCTTCTCAGTTATATTATTGCAATCTGCCGTCAAGCTTGGTCTCTACAATGTTATATGTGTGTACAGAATCAACCCCGGATCGAGCGGGTATGCATTCACCGAACATTCTAACCCGATTTCAATGCAGTCCTCAGGGAAGAGCAAGGAACACAGTAATATAAAAACGAAATATGCCGATATGAAAAAATGCTTTCAACCTTAGGTCTCAACACAAAAAAACTCCTATTACACATCTTTGATATCTTCTCAATAAGCTTACTTTTACGGCAGCAACGAGCCCCTTGCCTCTCCATATACCCTGTTCTGGTTTTCTCGACCCAGTCCCATTGCGATTCCTCTGATTATCCGAGAGAAATGATGGTCTATTCGGTATAGACATTACAAAGAAATGCTTTCATTTAAATTGTAACGAAATCACGTAAAAGAAATTCGTTCCCCGTTTAAAATAAGAACTTTAGTTCGAAACAATAATACAAGTACTATCAGTGCAAGTTCAAAAGAGAACAGTCACTTCCTCAATTAAGTCCTCTTTATGACAATCCATCGTCGTTTCTATGATCGATCCAAGATTACCCTCTTCAAGTTCGAGTTACGTTCAACTTTGTTATACTGAAGAACAATCATTTGATTTGTTTAAGGGGCAGGAAATATCATCGGAGAAATGCAAATGCCGCCTTTGGGAGTATTTTGTGTGGAGCATCATAGAAAGAAGAAATAAAATGTAGCCAACCAAATATAATTGTGAATTGATTTGCCACACATGCCCACTCAAAATTCTGACAACTAATGAAAGTCGTACGCTTACCTCTATTTCATCTTCAAGTTTCGCCAAAAATTGGACACTGTACTCCACTCCGCCCATCTTCCGAGTATTGCGAAACTCGCGGATAGCATCGTTCTGGGTTTCAAACAATAAAGTTAACAATTATCGAACATAGAAAATGGGACATACTTTGCAGAGCTGGTGCTGTTCAAGTAACTCATTGGTGCTCATGTACGGAGTGTCACCGCCACAAATCTAAACGAGGAAAAAGTAGCAGACGGCTATAGGATTCAATGAAGTCAATGAAGTCGCCTCACCTCCTCCATTTCTCTTTGATAAAGAGCTCGTGCACTAGCAACAGCAGCCAAGTTGTTCGCTTCCGCAGTTGCCTGTATAAAGCTGCTTTTTAGTACCGGGAGTAAAGTACAAACAAAAGACACCACTGATCTCCTTAACTCAAGCTTTCTCTAAATGAAAGATCATGAGACCGTGGCAAGGATACGTGGCACAAACCCGTATAGGTAGAAGGAGGTAAAAAAGAATTAAAAGTTGCGATGTATATATTCAGAGAGGACCGCCGTTATTCTACTGCACTCTGTTTCTCTGCGCATCAAAGCGTTCGCGTATGTTGGTGAGCATAGCTAGCACGTGCATCTACCCAAAACATGCGTTCTGAATGCTGGAAAGAACGGTTTGGAGTCCGCGTATGAGCAAAACATAACATCCTGAAACCAAGCTCTCAGGGATCCCCAAAAACTCGGTTTCATGGGATTGCACGGCATTAACTATAACTAAAACTTGTTACTGTTGTACCATCTTAGGAATACTACACTTCATCAATCACTTTGACCTCTAGGAGCTATTCATGGTTTTGCGAAATTTGCATCGGTGGAAATATTGAAAATGGGAAAACTAAGTTAACTTACCATAAGCATAGATTTCGGTTCAGGTAGATCTTGGCCTTGGAAAATTTTCATATATGCCTGAAACAAGGAGGAAAGTACTAGATGACTGAGAAGCTAAATCTCAAGTAATATGACGATCACCTTGAAATATTCGACGAGCTCTCTACACGTCACTTTATGTCCATTAATTTCTTTCATTGCCAAGTTACATGAGTCGAGAATGCGAGGCACCATTACACGCAATTGTTGTTGGAACTCCGGTTCGATATCTTCAATAGTAATACAATTATGGAAGATAACCAAAATAATAGAAGCCTATTAGATTGAACCTGTGAGCTATGCTCACCGATTTTTTAATTCGAGCGATGCTCGAATTCAAACCCTGCCTGAGACATCCTAAAATCACCACGCTAACTTGGCAAATGGCCGACCCCTGTGGGCTACCGTCAATATAAAACAAGGGTGAAAATGTTTGTGGAATCAGTCACAGAACACTTATAAAACGGACCAGCCAAAGAACCGTTGAAGTCTGGATTCGTAGCAACCTTTATGCCAGGATACGGCATAAGAAAGCAGGATATGTTTTCAAAGCAACTGCGAATATGTTGCCGCAGTTGCTGCAGTTCAGGATGCTGCTTTGCTGAGACCTGAACCGTTATACACATAAAAACATCTAGTTTATAACTTATGGTATCGAAAATCGATAAAATGTATGTACCTGTAATCGGTCGTCGAGAACACGCTGACCTCCTTGGTAACCAAACTCCGCTTCATAAGGGAAAGACCAATCACGTACAAGAAATTGTAACGACTAGAATCATGATCAATTATTAACGAACGAAGATTAGGTGAAATAAATAATATAGAAAAAGAACCATTCGAGAAAAAACATATTGCAATCATCAATCGCAGTACAACAAACTGAATCAAATAAGTATCTCAAACTTGTTACGAAGTATGCAGAGTCTTAATTACCCCATCCCAAAGTATGAAAATACTGCAATTGAGTACATAGAGCAGTATTGGGTTTTATGATGGGCCACTTAGCCGATGGGTTTGGTTTCTAGCCAATAAAAATAAATAAGATTGCTAAATCAACAAAATAAAAGCCAAAACTGACTGTTTCGTTTTTTTTTCACCTCATCTATACGTTTCGTAATAGCTGAATTTTGAGCGAATTTAAAGGAGCATAGGACAAAGTCCAAAAGAGTCAATATATTAGTTTGTAAGGAAAGTTCTGGCCGTTTTGTCAGCTAACTTTCAAAAAGTTATAACTCATCTCAAAGTGAACGTTTTTATTCAAAATAAGCCCCATTCGATTCCACACATTTTCGCCAACGTGATACAAGTCTGTTTATTCCATTCTTATAAAAGTCCGGAGATCTGAATTCCAAGATCTCGAGAAAGGCAGCTTCCACGTTGCCTTGATTTTTGAATACTCGTTCCTTTAATAAGTTGCCCAGACGTTTGAACAAATGGTAGTCAGTTGGTGACAGGTCTGGTGAGTAGAATGGATGAGGGAGAGCTTCTATTCCCAGCTCGTTCAGCTTCTGGAAGGCAGTTTGTGACACATGCGGTTGTGCATTGTCGTGCAAGAGCAGTAGACAGTGTCGATTGACTAGTGCTGGCTGCATTTACCCCAGTTTTGTGAATTTCTCGTGAATTTGATCGCAATAGGGCTGCGCGGTGATGGTTTGACTCGAAAGAAGAAACGCGTAGTGAATTAATCCACCAAACTGTGATCATTTTCTTCGTGACGTGTAAACCTGGTTTGGGAAATTTTTTGGAGGCTCATCCACACTCACCCACTGAGCAGAACGCTTCCAGTTATCATACAGGATCCATTTCTCATCACACGTTACAATACGATGGAGAAAAGGCTCAACATTATTACTTCTCAACAGCGAACTTGAAACTTCTGAGCGCTTCAATTGTTGCTGCTCCGTGAGTTCGTGCGGCACCCACTTGGCAAGCTTCTTCACCATTCCAAGCTGCTTGAGGAGGGCAGCGAGAAGTGTGTGGGAGACAACCATCTTCTTGGCAATCTCTTTCAAAGGTTGACGTCGATCATCTTCGACTGCTCTTAGCAAAACATCGTGGTCAACTAACGATGGTCGACCAACTCGCTCTTCGTCTTTCAGTGACTCGTCTCCACTTCGACACTTCTGAAACCAGCGACAAACCGTTCGCTCCGCCGCAGTGCCTCCTCCCCACGTAACATTGATGTTTGTGGTTGCCTCCTTCGCAGTTCGACCAAGTTCGAACTTGTGAAGTAAAACCATTCAAAAAGNAGTCTTAGCCATTCTGCCAAGAAAAACCTCCTGAAAATTCCAAAACCTTACAGATTCTGGGGAAAGCGCTATGACAGAAAGAGCAACTAATGACTTGCCTAAGAAGCACAATATCACCATTAGTCTGAATGTACATCCGCCAAAATTTCAATTCATATGGCACATACGTGGGAACGGCCATAACTTTCCTTACAACCTAATAAATACAGGTCTCATTCTTGTCACTGCTGTGAAATATAGTAGTAGCGAATTTTGAGTACGTACGCGCTGGCAGATTTTCAGTCCCCAATCATTCAACACAATATTAAACTCTTGTACCCGAACTTGAAAACCTTCAACGTGGGATAAGCACGGAGCCTACAGAAGTTAAATGCGCAGTAGGGATCTGCATAACGACTGTTGCAGCCAATAGAAAGACGATTTTACCTAATATCCGCGCCCTAGTAGTTCTAGTCTTTGTGAAGAACATCAGTAGAACATTTCGGAACACTCACGAATCGCGAGCTTCTCAAAATTTCGCAAAAGATTACCGGCAAAAAATACTTTAAGCAGAATCTGCATTTCTAACTTGAATCTGCAATTGCTAGACCTTCAATGTAAAGACACAAGTTAAGAGCTTCGGGCGCATATCACTTCGGGACTATAAAAAAATTTCGTTACATTTAAACCTCGAATGAAAATTTCGAGCGAGTAGAATCTACCTGGAAAGGTTTGTTTTCATTATCTTCCATTGCTAGTCGTCCGTACTCGGTAAACATTTGTAAATGTTGCAAATGATCTTCTTGAATATTATGTAGCAAATTGTATATCTGAAAACAACTGCAAGGTTAAATGGCTTCGAAGCAATGTATTGAGCACATTTCATCAACGGTAATGTTTCGACTGCCCCTACAAAAGGGTTCACCGACAAAAAGCAATCAAATGAAAAAAAAACAGTCAGATTTTTTTTCAAAAAGATGTGAGGTGTCAGCAAGTTGCAGTCTAGTCTGGGCCAAATCAATGCGTATTGAATTAAATGTTCAATGAGCAAAATCTAATGGCTAAATCCAGAACAAATATGAATGTTTACCTAGCGAGAAACCTGAGAAATGTTATATCCCTTCACTAAGGTAAATACTACATCACTCGAGTTGGAAAGAAAACTCCTTTTTTAACACCTACCTGCATTGAAGACACCATTGTAGAAAGCGCAAAAATGGTGGCACAATCCTTGACCGTACTCTGGGAATCAAATGTCCCTTGTGTATCCATGAGGATGACTGCAATCTAAAACGCTACATATTATTCTCAATCACGAGTGCATATAATGAGCCGTTCATTATAAGAATAAGTCATTCCAGAGAATTTTTCTATATTAAGATAGTCAATTCCAACTCGCAAAGAATTGAGAAAAAGCACCTCCTCTCCATTTTTATCTTTCATTATAAAAGGCTGACTCCAAATGAGAATTCCATTCGTATCTCGCTTGCTACCACCACGCCACGAAAAACCTTTCAATGAGTCTGGATGTGTACCAAGCCAATCCATGCCACTAAAACCATCATCATCTGAAAAACAAACCAGCTTTCAAACTTTCCCAATAACATTCACACAATCATCGCTTTGCTTCACTAGCAAAAATAAATAACGCTCGGGTGTCATGTCAGTTGATGAACCTTTATCCAAAATTAGAGGACCCCTCCTCATAACGGAATCTACGAACTTCTCAAAGGCGAAGTCTCACCAAGAGCGAACATCCCTTTTTGATAAGTGCATCGTTTAATCAATGAAACTATACACTGCTTGCAACACCTTTTACTTATTTGAAAAGTACTGGGAAACACTGAAAAAAACATACATGCATAATAAAATTCTTTTGTAATAACAATGTGCTAAAGTGTATATATAAACTTATGCGGATCTACTGAGGGCAACACAGCTGTGTACAGAGATGAACATCACCTTTCATATCATGACTACAGTTAATAACATTGCACAGAATCACCACTCATGCTGACTGCGCTTCTATTGGTGTGCTCAAAACGAAAGATATCCCCATTATATATGATATAAAGTACTGCAGTAAATGCTCAAAGTAAGTCGCTAGATCGAGGGGCTCCTCGACTGTATGACATTGAATTTGATGAGTTTAAAAGTCGATGATCGTCAACTTAGAATATGTCTTCTCCACCGACGAGGTTAAACGAATTTTCAAAAAGAAAATATATTCAATTGCTTACTTCCTGTGAATGATTTTGACCAACCTATCGTCGGTCCCTTGGGTGAGCTCTCATCTAGGAGAAGAGGTATTGGACCACTGACACCTACACAATTAGAACATCACTCGTCAGCTACTTCCAAAAATATAATCACTCTCATGCTCTCTCTAAAACAAGACATACTGAACAACGTTGCCTCCATAAGCACTTGTGCGCGGCCGATGAAAATATGAGTACGGTTCTCTGCTACTTATCCCCTTGTAATGAAATGAGACAAACCTTTGCATAAACATCTCAGAATATGCTTCATAAAAGCATTTAATTAGCACAGGATGAACAAAACCGAGCGACGCACAAAAACCTGGTGAAAGGTACCCAGCGGAAAGCATCAAAATGAAAAGAGAATGAATATTGAAGACCATGATCAAGTTTACGACATGCTGTGTTAAATTTAATCGATGATTTGAGACTCATGCCATTTGTATCGAAATGGTGTAGAAAATCTCTCGCGAATTGCCGCAATGGAAGGAAGCAAAGCGCTCATTTCGGAATTCACCAACCGGTATCTTTAGTGCTTTTTTTAAAGGTGAAAACTTAAAACTGAATGAAGACCCATGAAATAAATTAAGAGTTCGACCAATTCTGAGCACCGCAAGTCCCACGTTGGAGGATATAAATCAGGAGGGGCAACTGTGGCGCACTACTGGTGATTCTGTGGCAGCTCCAAGACACTTTTTGGACAGTTCGCATGAGGTTCTCGTATAACTAATCCAACTGAAGTGAAACCAACGATTCACATGAAAGCTTTGCGTTTTATCAGCAAAGAGGATTCAGACTTCCACAATTCTGCATGTACTTAGCCACCTTATAG